AAAGCGAGAATAAAGATGGAAACTAGAAACTTAGTTGAAGAATTGAGGTGTGAGATGGCACGTCTTCAGTACATGCCAATTAATGTCTATGGAGTAGGAAGCTCTAGCTCCTGGTGCCCCGCCTTACTGGACCTGCTGCTTTGCAATAGTGTAATTGTATTGAGCACATACTGAGCTGGGATGCACTTGAGGTTAACTCCATTTGTAGAGTTTTCTAGCAGGTATGATAAGAAATAGAGTCGAGCATCATTGCAATTGTCCACTGGTTGAGGCGGGCCCAGGAGCTGAAATTCGCTCTACAATCACCACCACGGTATATACATGACACCACCAAGGAATATACATAACATCGGTCCATCTATCCCGTATCGTAACTGAATCTATAATTCCCTAATTCATCTATTTATCAATTATTGCACACACATGTTCAACTCTGCACGGCGAGCGGAGATAACCAGGCCATTAGACCTGCGTGTCACTGGTAAAACTAATATATGTAACGCCCTTTACCCAGAGCTCCGGGTTCTCCGAAAGCAATATATTTCAACCTTTCGATTAAAGTTAATCTGATTTATGGAATCCGCTGACCGCCAAAATACCCAGGTGATAAATTATCCCGGGAGCTAATTACGCGCATAACAATCATTAGAGGCCTTGTTTCAAGCACATCATTTTATAGTCGTTAATTTTCTAACGACAACACCAGCACCCAAATGACACTCATCAGGAGATTTGCCTCCAAATAAAAAAAAAAACAACAAATACTGTTTTTGTATTTGCCCAAAATGTCCCACTCAATATGAACAAAAACATATTTAGCTAATCTGTTTAATCACGCTTTGATCAGCCGTGATTTGCGAGGGGTCCAATTGTAATTTGTGTTGGTAATGAAAGATTTGGTTGCATGATGAATTGCATTATAGAAATACCTAAAAAATGTTTCAATTGCACATTTCTCTCTCTCCCTCTTCCACCCCCCCCAACCCCCACCCACTGGCACACGGGAACGACGATATTCTCTCTTATTCTCCCATTTAATGCATTGCATTGTTTGTATTGATCACGACATTAAAAATCCCAGCGATTAATTGATGGGAAAAGAGCACTGCAATATGAAAGTTTCCTTCGACAAAGTAGCATCGAACTCGGCTTGTTAGGCAAGATGCTTAGGTTAGTGAGCTTTAGGTTAAACACAATCTCGTCATATTTGACGCTTGCCAGTGATACCGAGCTTGTAAATCACATATACATTATATAGTATACATATGAATTATACATAGCGTACATAGTATTCATAGAAATACATAGCGAGGGTTCAAGCGAAGACATCTTAAGCCTGGATCTGAGGAAGGAAAGGATGTTTCAGGTGCAACGAGTGACGCCAAGGACGCGAGTTCGAGCTCATTGTAGTGCCTCTATATTTATTTGTGGATACATTAGGCTATTGTAGTTTCATTCTGCTTGAGACGAGTCTTGAAGTTCATACCAGATTTAAGGCTGAGGAAGGGAAGGGAAAGGATGTGAAGGGAAAGGATGGGAAGGGAAGGGAATGGATGGGAAGGGAAGGGAAGTATCAGGAGAAGCGCCAAGCCATCACGACTATATAGCACTGGGAAGGGGTCAGGATAAGGATTTGGGATGGGACGGGGAGAAGGAATGATGCCCAACCACTTGGACGGTCGGGGATTAAACGCCGACCTGCTGGCGAAAGGAAATTAATTTGTAAAATGGAACCTATAGGCATACAAAAATAATATCGTGGAAGATGAATGCAGAAAGAGCCAGATGTCCGAGAGAGTAAGTCGCACCAACGGGATTGAAACATGTGACTCAATCCACACACATCTGATAAAGGGACGAAAGTGACGTTTCGGTCCGTTTGGGACATCACTCAAGCCGTCTAAAAGGGTCCAAGATGGACCGTAACACCCCCTTCACTTGCTGTGGTTTGGGAGTCTGGACAGAGGTTGAGCAAAAAGAGGGGTCTGCAAGATTGTATATATGTAGTATTAGGCATCCATTAGTTTCAAGCATGCATACATATGTATACATATGTATATATTTACTAAATGGGGTACCCGGCTGTGCCCGGGTGCCCCCCTCTCCCCTCTTTCCCCTCACTTTTACACGTTCTTAGTTTTCGAGTCGATAAATCTAGGGACTCTGCCAGCCACCTTTTAGCTATTTTATTTTTTTTATTATTATTTTCTACCACAGACGTGGCCACACATTTACAATGCTAACCAGGATATATACATTTTTTTCTGTCGTTCATGGACAGGGTTAGAGATCTGTTAAACATATAATTCAGAGATTTATTGAACAATCAACCACAGAAGGTGATTGTTGTGCTTTTAAAATCCTAAGCTAACCTACATACGTAAATACATAGATACACAGATTTACGTCTGCCCTACATAAAGTGTTAGATGTGTCTTTTACATAGTGTCATTAATGTGCTTTAAGATGAAATGTAATTATGATCAGCTTCCATATATACTTTATACACGTTTTGAGGTGAAGGGGGATGGGGGGGGGGGGGTCACTATTGGGACCGATACCCTCTTAATAGGACCAATATATGTCCGTCCCCGACCAACCTATGGCAGTCCCATACCCCAGACCATTCACCTTCTCCTCCCATCACTTTATTTACATAAAAAAGTGAGTGCAGGGAGGATTTACGAGTATATTTCCATATATTTCCTATCTATTAGTAAAGGTCCTTACGGGATGCTAAGTACACCGAGGAGTGTACCTCGCTTCTGTGTAAACTCACTGAGAGTGTAGTTCCTGGTCAAAAAGTAACCTATTGTGGTGGCATTAATAACCCTTCAAAATCTATCCGGAGAATGGGAGAGTCTCCGGATAGTCTATCTCCCAATCTATATCTCCCAGATAGACACGGATCGCAGGCTATTTACCCCCAACATCAAACCAAATGCTCTTCACTGCAAACTGTAAACTCCAGATTTAATTCACTTTTGATAAGGGGGATAAGTGATGGTATTTTGTACAATGTCAGAATTTCTTAATTAAACCGGGAAAATAAACACTTGATTTTCAGTGTCAGAAGTGCTGACTCGTGGGACAGCCCGCAGCTGATCCCAGGCTCACGGGACCCGCAGCTGATCCCAGTCTCGCAGGACCCGCAGCTGATCCCAGGCTCACGGGACCCGCAGCTGATCCCAGACTCGCGGGGGGTAAAATAGAAATACCATGAAATGAAAAAATAATTGGTACATGTTGTACTGACTATGATTATGCAAATGAAACAGTGGCTTATGGGGAAACTTTTTCGTTTTCCTGAATTCATTTTCTGGTTAGTAAATGAATTTGAACAAGTAGAGTGTGTTATGTGGTGGTCTTAACATAGCGTATGTGGCGTGTATGAAACATGTTGATGGTGGGCCTCAACATAGATCTAAGGAACCATATTTTTTTTACCACATTTGACCACGCACGCACACACACACACACACACACACACACACACACACACACACACACACACACACACACACACACACACACACACACACACACACACACCTTGGACTTAACTTTACACCAGGGACTTATCATCAAACATTTATATTTACGTCTACACTCATTCGCATACACGTTGCTCCTATACACTGTTCACACATCAAGACTAATCACATACTACTCACACATTACTCTCTCACACACACTCCGCTCATGCACACTATACTCACACACTGCTCCCATGTACACTACTCACTCACAACTCATCCATTTGCTCACATATTCAAGGACCCACATGGGAACCCATTTTATGTATACTAGAGTTAGCAACACTCCTTATATGTGGTGGGCAGTGTTTATTAACTCTACACACACACACACACACACACACACACACACACACACACACACACACACACACACACACACACACACACACACACACACAAATACACATACACATACACACCTGTGTGTTCCAGCACAAACTGTCCAGGTGAGTGGTGGAAAACGCCCCCCCCCAGGAAACTACTGAAACACATGTGTTGAATACTCACTTCTGTTACATTACTCACCAATATATGAACAGATTTACTATAGTTTCAAAGCCATATATAAAATAGTGATATACTTATAGTCTCTCCCATCTTATGACTCGCTTATTAATAAGCACATTGTCGCACGATACAGTTATTTCACTATGTCTTTCAGCATATATTAAACCGTATTTTATACCATACATGATGCATCATATTTTTACACTACAATTTTCACCTTACACAATATTGATATTTACTGAAAGCTGACGCGAAGACAATGAGGGGTATCTCTCGCCTCCTTGCATCCATAACACAGTTCTCTTAAGCTGGCAAACACCAGGATCCGGATTTATAAAGCAGTTACGCAAGTACTTACGAACGTGTACATCTTTCCTCAATCTTTGACGGCTTTGGTTACATTTATAAAACAGTTTACAATCATGAAAACTTCACAATCAACTGTTGTTATTGTTATAAACAGCCTCCTGGTGCTTCACAGCTCATTAACTGTTTAATAATTGTGAACAAAGCCGCCAAAGATTGAGAAAAGATGTACAGGTTCGTAAGTGCTTGTGTAACTGCTTCGTGAATCCGAATCCAGTGCTATTGAAGGATGTTAATTATTTATTGTAGAGCTTTTGCCGTTAAGAGAGAGTGAGAGAAAGAGAAAAGAGAGAAAAGAGAGTAAGAGAGAGAGAGTGAGCGAGAGAGAAAGAGTGAGAGAGAGTGAGAGAGAGAGAGAGAGAGAGAGAGAGAGAGAGAGAGAGAGTGTGAGAGAGAGAGAGAGAGAGAGAGAGAGTGGTCCAGCATTAAGAGAAAGGACAGGGCCCACCAGCGGTTTAGAGATAGTCCAGGTATGACTGCGATAAACAATGGAGAAACAATCAGCTAAATGGGGGCAGACGGCCACACGGGAAATCACGGAAGGACCAGGCAGCCCCAGGCCCCACCAACACACGCACTTACACACTATCATAAACCTCTCCTGCTGCTGCTGCTGCTGCTGCTGCTGCTGCCTCTCTTGTTGCGTAGGGCTCTGTTGCCGTTGATGCTGTCGTGAGAGGCCTCTCTTGATCCCGTTGGCGTGAGAGGATTCTGTTGATGTTGGTGTGAGAGGGCTATGTTGTTTACGATGTTGCGAGGTGGCTCTGGTGAGAGGAATGTGTTATTGATGCTCAGGTAAGAGGAATCTCTTACTGAGATTATACCTGGACTATCTCTAAACCGCTGGTAGGCCCTGTCCTTTCTCTTAATGCTGGACCACTCTCTCTCTCTCTCTCTCTCTCTCTCTCTCTCTCTCTCTCTCTCTCTCTCTCTCTCTCTCTCTCTCTCTCTCACTCTCTCTCTCAGGAATCTCTTACTGATGGTCAGGTAAGAGGAATCTGCTGCCGATTATGCTCAATAAAGAAAGTTCTGTTGGTGGAACTAATGTGCATAAAGTTTCAATTGGTTGCATTTAGAATGTTGCTGTGCATGTTGGTCAAACCATGAAAACTAAGTAGTAGGAGTTCTTTATGTTCTGAATATTTTCAAGGCGAACTAAAATATTTCAGCAGGATGCGTACCGGGAACCGGTCGGCCGAGCGGACAGCACGCTGGACTTGTGATCCTGTGGTCCTGGGTTCGACCCCAGGCGCCGGCGAGAAACAATGGGCAGAGTTTCTTTCACCCTATGCCCCTGTTACCTAGCAGTAAAATAGGTACATGGGTGTTAGTCAGCTGTCACGGCTGCTTCCTGGGGGGTGGAGGCCTGGTCGAGGACCGGGCCGCGGGGACACTAAAAATCCCCGAAATCATCTCAAGATAACCTCAAGATAACCGCTGTGACATGCGTTCTTAGTCAACCAACCCATTCTCCTCAACGTATCTACTCAACCTATGTATCTACCTTGCACCTGGTTGCACCTGGTTGCATCTATGCATCTACTATGGAAGTTAAGCACAATTGATTGATATCCAACATATGTTTGAGACTTTCCAGTAAGTTTTCTTCAATGATATTACTTAAAGTTGTCTGAATATTGGAGAATATGTTATGTCAGAAAGCTTAGAAATCCCATACGCCGCGGCGAACGCAATTTTGAATTGTGTGTTGGTGAAAATATCAAGGCGTAACAAAGAGGAATTTTGCACCTACATGGAAAACGGTCTGATGATGGTCCAGGATGGTCCGAAACGTCGCCACTTTCGATGTTTTCAGACGTGTAGGTTGGTGTTTTTCTTGAGATGATTTCGGGGCTTAGCGTCCCCGCGGCCCGGTCCTCGACCAGACCTCCTTTTTGTTACACATCCCCCCAGGAAGCAGCCCGCAGCAGCTGTCTAACTCCCAGGTACCTATTTACTAGTAGGTGAATAGTGCATCACGGTGAAAGAAACTTTGCCCATTTGTTTTCGCCTTCGCCGGAGATCGAATCCGGAACCTTAGGACTGTGAATCCCGAGCGCTGTCCACTCAGCCGTCAGGCCCCTTACTGGGTGTGTAATTTTGAGCCTCCGTTATTCTGACTTACTCGTAGGGAAAGAGTTTTCTTTTTCTATTGTTCTTATAACTTAATTTAGATTATAGAGTGTATTATCATTATGATAAGAGAAAATGTCAACATAACTTAATACTTATGTAAAAAATTATAGTGAACTTTGAAGTTCACTCAATTAAAAATGCTGAATCAATTATAAATGAAGTTATGGTTTGATTTGATATAGTAGCAGTACTAATTTCAATATAACAATGAATAAAACATAGCTGGTTATGATAAATTCTATTAAAGTACTTTTCATAACACAACTATATTGTGCAACTCTTGAATAAGGACCGTGATAATTCCTTCAAGACGAATAGTTCTATAATTTATACGTGCTAATGATACACCAATGCATAAGACTTAGCATTTCCTTGTAGTTTTTAACTAATTACGTTAACTAGGGTAGTTGGGAACTCGCAGCGAGCATGATTACCGACCAAGTAGTTCAACAGTTAAGGTAGCAACAATTTAATGATGGTTCCCATCATTGTTTTATAAGAAATCATTAGGATAAACAAATCCAGCCTGCATAAGAGATAGACATATCTAGATTTTATGGAAACATTTGATAGTGTTTCTATATAAAGACTTTTTTTCAATATAAATTTAAAGTTTATGTTGACCAGACCACACACTAGAAGTTGAAGGGACGACGACGTTTCGGTCCGTCCTGGACCATTCTCAAGTCACAATCGACTTGAGAATGGTCCAGGACGGACCGAAACGTCGTCGTCCCTTCAACTTCTAGTGTGTGGTCTGGTCAACATACTTCAGCCACGTTATTGTGACTCATCGCCTGCATTTAAAGTCTATCCTATATCAAAGCTGTTAGACGCTTATAGGTCTAAATAAATATGAATTAAATGGCTAACTTAACAAGTGGAGAACCTCAGGGTTATTGTTTTGGATCCTCGTTATATATATATGTAAATGGTATAGATAATAGGGTTATGCTGAGCAATACTAAAAACTCGCCATAGACGCTAAGGAGGAAAGTTGCAACACCGACAGAAGGAGAGATGATGCAAGCCCCATTAAAGATCGTAGTCAACAGAGAAGATCAGCTGTGAGATGACCACAACAGAAGGAATAGGACAAAATCATGCTGATAGTGACACGGGCTCATGATATAAACAAACCCTCCCCCCCCCAAAGCACTCTATTGAACTGAAATGAAAACATGAAAAGCACGAGAATATTATTATTCATTTTAAAGTCTTTCTACTTTCGATTCGTAAAAGACGTTCTTTGTTCTTATTGTAGAATATTCTATTCACTCTTGGTCATCGTGAAAGGGGGAAAAGTTATTTATGACTTGAAAGATGTTTAGCTCGGAGCAACAGAGCAACAGCGCTGATATAATGACGTAGAAATACATCATATCCAACCTTAAGTGGGCGAAAATAAGTGGTGATTTAATACAGGTGTTGACCAGACCACACACTAGAAGGTGAAGGGACGACGACGTTTCGGTCCGTCCTGGACCATTATCAAGTAGATTGTGTACAGTTGTTTATGTACATACAGGTGTTTAAGATTATCACATATCTGTAGACACACTGACAGATACTTCCATGTTTCACATACCTGAAACAACCGTTGCTGTCAAATTACATAAAATCCGTGCAACTAATCCCAATTCAAACCCTAAAAAAGCTCTCCTAATGACAAAATGAGTAGAAAACTACTTCAATTGTAATCTGCTCCTTCCATTACACTCCATCACGCACAGAAAAGATTGAAGTTGACTTTCAACATTTTCTGTACCTTATGGGTTACCTGACCTCTTGGGATTGCAAGAATTGAATTGTATTACGAAAACAACACTCTTCGTAATACAATTCAAGAGTTGATTGTCTACGCTACGAGTCTTCCATTATGAGGCGCTTAATGAATTAGCACGTTACTCAGTGCTCTGATCTGTCTTTTAATTACTGCAATCGTTATACTGACCACGGCTAGGCCTGGTGTTGTTTATTTTACAGGACTGAATAATTGATGAATGGGTGTTGGAGAATGTGTGCAGATTGACGAGTATAGTGTGAGAAGGGGTGTGCTCTCTGTCTGTGTTGTCTGTCTGTTTATGTTGTCTGTCTGTGTTGTCTGTCTGTCTGTCTCTATCTCTCTCTCTGTCTCTCCGTCTCTGTCTCTGTCTCTCTCTCCGTCTCTGTCTCTGTCTCTCTTTCTGTCTGTCTCTCTCTCTCTCTCTCTCTCTCTCTCTCTTTTCTCTCTCTCTCTCTCTCTCTCTCTCTCTGTCTCCGTCTCTCTCTCTGTCTCTCTTTCTATGTCTGTCTGTCTGTCTCTCTCTCTCTCTCTCTCTCTCTCTCTCTCTCTCTCTCTCTCTCTCTCTCTCTCTCTCTCTCTCTCTCTCTCTCTCTCTCTCTCTCTCTCTCTCTCTCTCTCTCTCTCTCTCTCTCTTTCTATTCTCTCTCAAGAGTCGGTACTAGATAACCTAAACAATAGCTAGTGATAGTCTCAGAAATGGTTACTCGACTTTATCACAAGGCAAATGCAAGATTATGAGGATAGGAATTGAAGCAAGATGACATCAAATGCAGTACAGGATGTAAGTATCCAGTATGCTGCCCCGGCATGGAACCCCCTACCTAAAGAAACTCAAAAATCACAAAAAAATAATCTCCTAAAATTTGCAACAAGGTTCAATCTTACGTTAAGGGGACTGAGCTATGAAGAAAGGCTGAGAGAACTGGCCTTCACTACACTAAAGGAAAGGAGGAATAAGGAATAAATAAAAAATATTTATGACGTGCTCGATGCTAGGGAGAATTGACAGCATAAATATAGAAGCAAAATACAGTTTGACGAACGGTAGAAAGAGGGAACATGGACATCTTCAAGAGGAAATTAGATTGTTTCCTTCAAGGAGTGCCGGACCAACTGGGCTGTGGTGGGTATGTGGGCCTGCGGGCCGCTCCAAGCAACAGCCTGGTGGATCAAACTCTCACAAGTCAACTCGGGCCGGGCTTGGGGAGTAGAAGAACTCCCAGAACCTCATCAACCAGGTATCAGCCAGGTACTGAAAACCCGGAAACACAGACGAGCCAAGATAATGCTAGAAAAATGAGTGGAACAAACGAGGAAATTGTAAAAGCCAATTTGATACAGTTTAAAATATAAATACGATAAGAAAATCGAGGAAAAACAAAAAGCAGCTGCACTTAGCTACTAATGCCAAAAGTCCGCGGCTTAAGAGCTTGACCCAGCAAGCACAACGAGACGAGTCCATCTAGGTGAGTACAGAGGACCAGAGCTCACGGAACGCGCGCACACGCACGCACACTACCCCCCCCCCCCTCCCCACACCCATCCCTACCAGAGGGCAGTAACTAAACCTTAACTTTTTAACTCTATTTCCGTCCCCCGGCCACATTTAAAAGCTTGCATGTAAAGTAATACCGGGAGCCGGAATTATCCTTTTTACACAGATTAACGTTTAGAACTAAAACACACAAAATTAATGCCACAAGTAAAATTGGAGCCGGCCAAGTTAATGGCAACAGAAAAGTCGACTAATAGTATAATTTGGTTGGAGGATTACGTCTGACGTGTTCAACAGTGACCGCGAAACTGAGTTGCACCGCGCCAGTGCAAATCCGACAGTGCCAT